TTGCTTGAAGAAAAAATGTGGTGTTGATTACTGTACTCGGCCAATATGATGCAACACATATCCTACTGCAATTTTGCAATTTGGTTATTACTTTTTATCTTGTGTAAGATTTCTTCTCTTCACTGCAATCTGTAGAAATCGGGCTTATTCTGAAAAGATACTTTATTTTTGTAATCCAGTAGCTAAAACCAACAAGATTAACAACAGATTGTACTAATTAGGGAAGTGAAGATGTGTAACGTTTTTGTGGCTGGGGAAGAGGGTTGAATAAAGCTTTAGTATTTTTACCCAAGCAGAAGGATAAACAGTACATCTTTCCAAGCAGAATGAGAACATGCAACCGAGCTAAGGGAAACCTGATGAGGTCCAACCAAGTGGGACTTTCAACGTGCTTCAGACATCTACTCTGGTCAGAGGCAATTCATCCCCTAACACTGCTTGCTTCCCTCCACTGACAACGGCTCAAATCAAGCCAGCTTATTCAAAAGCAGATTTCTAAGCTGACGCAATTCTCAAATGTAGACAAAGTCACTCAAGTCTTTGGTCTCAGTTCAGCTGCTACACTTGAAACTGGGACAAACATAGCAACAGCAGAAAAACTAGGAGAGTTACTGAGGAAAAAAGATAAACTAGAATAAAAAATGGAAAATGGGTTCACCAAAATTTGTTTAATAATATTAGATGATCCCAAATGCAACTAAATTCCCAAATGTCAGAAAATAAACATTACGGTCCACACACCCATAAGGTAAATCTGGATGCGCGAAGGGTTGACCCTGGTCAGCAATTCAGCACCCACCAGCCGCTTGCTCGCTCCCTCCTCCAGTGGGATGGGGGAGAGAATCAAAAGAGCAAAAGTGCGGAAAAGCTCATGGGTAGAGATAAAGACCATTCAGTAAGTGAAGGGGAAAAAGGGGAAAAAAAGTGATTCAAAGGCAATCACCCTCCAGCTCCCGCCAGCAGACCGATGCCCAGGCAGCATTTGAGCACCAGCCACCTTAGAAAGAGCACCCTCCTTTCTACTGCTGAGCACGACGTCGTGGCCTGGGGCACCTCCTGGGTCGGTTGGGCTCAGCTGTCCTGGCTCTGTCCCCTCCCAATCTCTCACCCACCCCCAGCCTACTCACTGCAGGGAAAGTGGGAAACAGAGACGGCCTTCACACTGCAATAGCTAAACCATCCCTGTGTTACCAACGCTCTTCTGGTCACAAATGTAAAACACAGCCCCATGCAGGCTGCTATGAAGAAAATTAACTCCATCCTGGCCAAAATCTGTACATGACGTAAAACGGGCTCTGCATCAGGCAAAAATCCTCTTGATAAAGAAGCCAGTAACCTGTTTTTCTCAGATCATGTTCAGTCCTGGTGCTTGCAAAGGATTACTGCATTCTCCCGTCTTCTTTCTTGAGCCTATTCTCCTCTCTATTTAATCAGCAATCCTTGGCAACACTTCTCAAGTGAAATCAGATTTTGCACAGAGATGGTTGAGCGCTATTATTAAATCAGAAAATCGGACTTGAAGCAACGCTTCCAAGTGCAGTCTCCAAAGGGTACAAGTAACACCTCCTCCCCAAATACATCTTTTAAGCACCGCCAAAAGTGCATGACGTGGTGCATGAAAATGGCTTAGGTTCGAGGATCTGAGAAGAACGCCTAAAGCTGCCACCAGCACGCTATTTGCAAACCCACCTTATTTGAAATATGGGTATGTTTCGCTCCTCTAGATGCATCAGGATATCTTGATAGCCAAGAGTCACAAACTTTACCCTTAAAATCTTTTTCAGCATAACTCCACCAACGCAAATTGAGTGGCCATTGAACACTATTTGAAATATATCCTGGAGGGCAATCATCAGTTTGAGAGCACTGCAGGCGTTGCTTTGGGAAAAACTAATTACACTTCATCAGAGCATCTGGTTTTGTAAAATACTGATGTTAGGTAGGCTATACACCACGGATGTTATATTCCAAAGCACCTACACCTGCGCAGCACAGCATAATCCATACCCAACCTGCCCACAAGGTATCACAAACAGCATAATAGCCTGAGGCAGAAAATAGATTTCAGAGTACTTGGAATAAGGCTTACAGCACGTAAATTAAGAAATCCCAACTCTTTAAGTATTGCTTTAAACAGTCCTCCAAGGGAAAGCTAAATGTGACATAAATATTAACAAATATTATTATAAAACAGAAAGGTATCCACCGTAACAGTATCTAGAGACATCACACAGCTTTGGAAAAGCACCAGTTCTTTCTAGGACAGAAGCCAAACTCTTCCATCATTCAGACAAAATTTATGCAGACTTTCCAGACCCACTCTGAAACAGCTTTGAATATTTTTATTTTTGTTCTTCTACCTTAAGGACAAGTTCTGCCAAGAGGAGCATCATTACTTCTGTTTACTCTTTGAATTTTGACAGTGCTGAGGCACAAATCAGGATTGTATTTAGTGAAGTGGGGCTCTAACACAGAATCAACTCCTTCCAATTTTGCAGTATATCTGAAGTTTGTGCAGTGGGAAGATAGAAACAGCTATGATAGCCATGGGCTCCAGCCATTACAAAAAGCCTCCTCTGAAAGGCTTTGTGTTAACTGGACATTTCTACACTCAGCATTGCTCGTAATTAAAGCCACAATAATGGCACAGAGAAGAAAGGATATGTGCTGAGAAAGGGAGGTTGGGACCATTTCAGTCTTTCAAGATGAGGGACAGGACTCTGAAGGGACTTGGTGCTACACTATTGCTATTGTGCCCTTTGTTATTCCAACGTTTAATTTAAGGTAAGAGTCTCTTTCCAGAAATAAAAAACTCAGTGCTCAAAGAGACATTTGGGCTGGAAAAAGGGATACAATACTAAAAGCACAACTCTGAAGAAACACGGGTATTTCATTCCCTGTCCATCCTCTTCCACAAAAACAATCCTAACCTTATTTCCCCTCCTTCCAGTATATGACCTGCACACTCCGTCAGGGATGGCCAGCCAAGGCCAGGTCTGGACCCGGGTACCAAGCATGCATCGTTCAAGTGTGGTGCCCACACTGCAGCTACGGTACGTAACTGGGAGCAAAGCCAGGGTCCTCTGCCTGCTGAGTTAGCTTTGCCCTTGGCTGGGAGAACCTCATCTGGCAGGGACTCAATCTCACGAGCTTTGCTTACGTGGGCACATCTTCCTAACAGGACAGCCTCCCGCTGTCTGCAATGTGAGCAAGGGTTCCTGAATCAGGCCCTAAATCATACAGTTTTAAGACAGAATTTATTGCATCCAAACACAGTAATATGTAAAATTATTATTTTTATGTAAATAATGTGTCCGAACCTTTTATTCACCTCTGCAAGTTTTTTGAAAGCACTTGAGCAAAAACAATGTCATTTGCCCTTACAGAAGCAATCAGGCCAAGAAATCTTCTCCAAAGATCATCATACTGAATTCAGGTACTGCACAAACTGGTAAATCCACTTACAATGCGAATGCATCAGTCTCACATACGACAATCTACTGTGTTCTCATGTAAACATTTCACCAACAATGTTGATCAAAAAGCTTCTTTTGTTTTTTTGCTTATGATGTGCCTGGCAAGTTCCACACATAGCAACAGACTAATTTGAGTGATGTGGAGATCACTAAGAGAGCGTAACTTGGTTTTCTGCTTTCATTCAGCAGAGTAACAATGGAGCTGCAGAAAAAAACCTTCTTAAAGCACCTGATTTCACCATAACTCCAGTGCCTCTGCGACCCCCTCACGTAGGAAATGGCCGATGAGTTCCCAGAAACGCAGACCCACAGCCTAACCCTCGGCAGAGTCTCCAGGGACTACGGGATAAAAAGTGGCTGGTGCTGCAACACGGAACAAGCAATACAGCAGGTCCTGATGTCGGATGCCTGCTGGGACGTGAGGGGGTGCAAGGGGTTTGTTTCTGCACGACTTTTAGTTCTACTTCTCAAAACAGGCTTCCATCAGAAGGCTTACCATAAACATTAAGCAGAGGTATGCGAAGCTGAATTAATTATAGGCTCCTTTCCTGAAAACAGTCATGAATTCTCAAATCTACATCTACAGATGAGCATTCCCACTGACATTAATGCAGCTACTGACTCAAGTAAGCTGCAGGCATTAACTTTGGCAGAGCTCAGCCAAAGGAACAGGCTTAAAAGGCCTTCATTTATCCTATTTAATTGTGCATCGCCAGAGAACAACCCAGGTATCAGGTGGGACTGCAGAGTACCTTAGACTCTACTCACAGATGCTTGACTTTCAATTTGGCAGGCTAAATCTGAACCGAACTGCTTATTAACCAAAGGCCATCCTGCTGCCAACGCTTAAGCTTCACGGTAACGGCCTGAGAGCAGACCAGTGCTACGTGTTTGCAGAATCGGGGTTTTCATGAGGAAGAGCAAGAGTCAGCACAGCAGCTAAGAGATCGTGCAGAGGACTTTGGCTGTCGCTGCTGGAGTGGGGGTGGCTTTCTTCCACAGGATTATGCTAGACTGTAAAGACGCAAATTATAGAGGCTTCACTTCTGATTAAGTACCTTGTTGCTCCCTGATACCTAAAGAGCAGCTCAAATAATATATCATTACTCAGTATGTTTAACGATACCAGTATCTAGTCTATAGCATTTACTTATTTCCTGGGGAGAGAGAATGGGAACAGGCAGCAGTGAGAAGAGAAATTAAATGTTATATTAATATGTTTTTCAAATGGTTGACTTTTAGGTTGCCTGAATATCTGAATACCATGAAATAAAAAAGGAAAACTTTCCTATGGAAGCATGTTTGTAACTCAAGAACTCAGCCATACTAACTTGGCACTTCGACACTGATCAGATTTTTTACGTTTATTAAAGAATTGAATTGGAGATATAATTGAGTTGATTAATATGTTGCATATCTAATTCACTGCATTTAACAGGCCTATCCCTTTGACAACTTACAAATCAATACGTTCATCCCACAGTAATTTATACAGCGGAGCTAAGCATCTGCACAAAGTATTACCTTCACAGTAGGCATTGTCCTCTCGAAGGGCTCGGAAGCCATCTCGGCAGCTACAGACAGCTCTGTCTTCGAGGTTTCGGCAGACAGAATGCTCCATACAGTTATGTCCTTCAGTGCAAAAGTCATGGCCTGTACAGAAACAAATATGATTGAGGGTTAAAAAGAATCCAGGGATTATAAAACATCCCTGTCAAAGGCAGTCCTATCCTATTCTCCAGTTAGGTCAAAGAATACCTTTCTATTGTCCATGAGATATAGAAAAATAAATTGTACCAAGCATGAAAGGGATGAAAGGAGTAGCAAAGGCCACGAGAACAGACTGTCTCTAGGTCTTCAATTCAATTTCAGGTTATGGTATTGATCTAAAGCAGCTGGATAGGAGGCTTGCGTAAATCCCCTTACTGTCTCCTTGTCATTGTTTAGAATTGTCCTGTAAAAATGCTTAATTATATACTTTTCTTCATTTTCTTTTTTTTGGTTGTTTGGACATTTATAAAAGAGCTCAATAGCTTAGACACTCAGTAGCTTATTTACTAGTGGTATTACTTTTTTTCCTAGCACTTTTTGTTCCCAGGTGTATTTATAAAATCCTTCCACATTTGACTGAAAGTCTTTGATTAACATTGACTTATTTTGTTTTTCTCTTCCCCTTATCTCTTCCTTTCAAGCTCCACTGACTGAATATTCTTCCCTGATTGCATCACCTTTCCATTTCAGAGAAATTTATTTTTAAAATCTCACCTGTTAGTCATCCCTATTTCCCATCTCCCTATTTTTTCCCTTCCATTTTTCACGAGTGTGACCATTTTCTATTGCACCTTAATTACAAATTCTTAAGATTCTGAAGTTCTTTTCCCAGCTGGAAAATTTAGATTGAACCTTTAAACTCAGCAGGTTTTTTAAAAATTCCTTCTGTTTGCTCTCATGAAATCTAATGCTTCTATGTTGCTGAACACCACTAAATCATCCTTTACTATGCTGAATTCAAGGTGGTTCTAGTAACTGACTTGAAGCTTTCACAATTTCCACATCTGTCTATAAAGGTGTGGAGCTTATATCCTTCATTGTTTTCTCAATAATTTCATTTGTTTAAAGTTTCCTTTTTTAACTGAAGCAATCAAATTGATCCAGCAGCAGTACTTCACTGTTCTTTTCCAGTAGCTATTTTCTTCTCTCAAAACCTCCCACAGGAGAACTGGGAAACGTGGCTCAGGCTCAGGGGACCAGGACCACTGAAACAGCAACAGCTCCAGAACGCAAGCTGGAATCCGGCTGCAACACAGGCCTCTTACAAAATAACAAACAAGTACTTGTTGGCAGTAAAGATGATTATTTTTATCACTCCACCTGGCTTCTGCTTCATATTTTGCCACGGAAGAGCTTCTACCCCTAACTGCACCAAAGCGAAGTTAAATGAGCACTTTGAGGAGGACAAGGGCAGTCTGCTCGGAGGTCAGGGCAGAGATGTTCTGCACGTGGGCAGCCCACGAGCAGCGCGAAGCAACACGAACCACGCAAAACAAGACAAGAGAGACAGAAGAGCCCATAAAGGCAGAATGTTTTAGTACTGAGACCCAGTGACCTGGTCATGGCGCGAACATCACAGACCTACTATGAGAGGCTGATCTGTTTCTTTCTCTTTCTTTCCTGCTGTGGATTGTCTCCCTGTAACCTGGAGATATGCTTAGGCAGTGTTACTTAAATATTATAATTCACCATAGCTACCACAGTGCTGTTACCTAACATAGGACATTAAGAAGCAAAAAGCTCTACGTTTCTACGAGCGTTAGGGGGTCTTCGGCGCTCACTGATGACAGCAGAAGTGTGTGTGTCAAGAGAAGCGTCATCTACTCTTTGCCTTTTTGTTGTCTTCCTCATTGACGCCTGAGGTAATGACAAAGCAATAGTCTTATTTTTGGAGTTCCTGGCCTGGATTGGTTTGTATCAGATTTTGGCATACATATCATCCAGAAAGGGTGAGGGCTTTTTCACTGTTTTTGTTATTCTTAACACTTACATATCAGCTGTATTAATAAACAACATACATGCTGCTGAATAATAGCATAAAGCAGCTTCTTGTTTGAAGAATAAGCTCCATAGCTCATGAGAGGCCATGCTAGCATGGTTCAGGGAGGACTGAAAATGTTCAGAAAGCACTCATCTGACATACATTAAAATTTTCTACCTATACCAGGCATAAGAAACACAGGATTCTTTTCTCTAAGCCACTGAAGATTTTATAGCAAATTACCATTAAAAAAATCCTTTTTGACTGTGATAGACTTCAAGATCTATCAACTTCTCTTGAGTTCTTTTATTCTACTTTCTTATCTCTCTGCCTGATGTCATTAATCATATCCTTCATGTTTGCTCCAAGTAGCACAGAAACAGCTACAACTGCACTCTTCTTCTCACTAAAGTATACCTGAAATCAACCCAAGAGTCTAACATCTCCTTTCATGCCAGATATCAATTTATCTTATTTAGCTATAGAAGAAACAGGTGTAGCCACCTGAAGATGCAATTGCTTATAGCTTTGAAGATACTGGTATTAGTCCAGACCAAAAGAGCGGGCTCAGGACACAGAGCACTTCCCACACCTCTCCCCTTTGGTAAGGATCAGACCGGGTGTAACACACAAAGGTACAGAGCATACCAAACATTGCCCAAAGCTTCTGCTTCTACGACCACAAACAGGTAAACCAGTTACTCCAGTCTTGGAACAAGTGCATGGCACCAACAGTTCTCTGACAGAGACATCTCAAAGCATCTCAGAAAGATGCTGGTGAACATGGACATTTCTCCAATCTCATTTTTTTGGACACTGGAGTGCATGAAGGGTAGAAAAATCACTAATCACGTATAGGGTTTCTTTGACTTTTCACCCATTTTTGGTTAGAATGAAACACGTAAACATGTTTCACAGAATTTACACGATTAGACGTTTTACAAACAATTTTCAGATGTCACAATGCAGATGTTAACTATTCAGCTTCCTAAGATCTACAGTGCTTATCATGCATAGGAGCGTCCTATTCAAAACAATCAGAAAACAGTCTGTATCATCTGTAAGAATGGAAAATTACACTGAGGTTGTACATCCTGCTATTACCTTACCTTTACAGATCTTGCAGCAACTGTGAGATAAGGGGATCTGTAGAGATTCTGGGCAGTTCAAAGCTGTACAACTGTCTTTTGGAACACGCTGCATTTTGTGGTCCTGTTAAATTGAGGTAATTGATTAATATTGCAAGATCATGAATAAAGATAAATGATAACTTTAGGGGAGTTTTAGCATTATAATGTACAAACAGAAAACTGTCTACGCCAAACTCCAGGTACTTTCAGAAACCATGTGAAAGGACAATGTAGCACAGTAAAACCATCAGGAACTCCCCTATACTCAAACCTTTTCAAGCAAGCCAAAGTGTGGCAACAGCTCTCATTCTTCTCTTAGCTGTCAAGCAACTTGCCTCAGAAGTTTCTCTTAAAATTATGCCTGAAAGAGCAACAATCATTTGTCAAAAACTGAGGCAGCAGATTTCAGAATCAAGGGTCCTCATAATGAATACTCTAAAGTAGCTTGTTATTTATACAGCAAGTAAAACCGAACTTGAACACCTCTGATCTCAACGCTGTGATAGTAATGCTGAAGGAAACTGGCACTGATTCCCTATTAGGAAAGAGAGGGTTTCTCAGCTAAGTTTGGAAATGTCCAATGCCACAAGATGGTACCTGAGTATTTTTGGGCACTCAGTGCAGGTCACACACAAGCACTGCAGCATCACCACCTGAAACGGCTGCCTGAGCAACCCGCTACCGCAGAGGTACCACCGTCGGGCTCCCTCGCACCCCAATTACTGCGTCTTGCAGTGCTCTAGTCGTGATACGGCAAAGAGAAAACAAGGCAGACAACAACATGTTCCTCAGAGGCATCCGCCTTAAAATCAGCAAGCTGGTTAAAATATGAGCTCACTGAACTCAGGACCCTGTACTTCTGCATGCAAGAAAAGTGCCTGAAATCATGCATATGCCATTGCATAGATTATTATTATGGGTCTAGCATTTAATTTTAAATCCTCTTTAAGCATGAAATATAAAGATGAAACATGAACACAATGGCCAATATGAAAATTACTGCTCAAACTTTACCTTCAACAACCTTGGCAGAGAAACCAACCCTAACCTGGTAACACAGTAAAGCAAACCAGCCACAGATGTGTTGTACGCCAGGACAAGCAGAACCCAGCAATCCCACAAAATAAAGGAAAAAAACCCTTCGACAGAAATAATACCAGTGTAGCCTGGATTGCATTCAATTCTTTTACAAATTCTAATTTGGAAGAGAATTTTTCATTCACTTGTTCTGTAACATTCAAACAGAAAAGTGTGTGCCTATAGCAGGCACAACTGCAACAGCCAAACAAAACAAAAAATGTTCAGAATTACATGCAGACAAAAAGAAGAAATTCCCTACGTTGCCTTGATAACATCATTACAAGCCTTCAAGCATGAAATCCGTACTTGTGCCATTCCTATTAAGTCTCTCTAGAGCTACAGTTATTAATTATAACCTTTTATGAGAACTCCAGTAGGAGTAAAATAGTGCCCACCTATGACTTCCTAACTGACCAACACAGCTTACAGTATGTGGGTTTTCTGCCCTGAATTATCATTCACAAGGCTGTTCAGCAGAAACTGTACGTACTTCGGTCCTTGAAAAAGCAGCACTTGAATCAGCCAAAGTCACTACTTAATATTTCTACCAGGACAGTCAGGCAGCTCACCGGCAAACAAGTATAACCAACAAAATACAGATAGCACAGCCAACACAGGCCTTTTGTTCATATGGTATCGCACTTGCCAGCTGCAAGAAACGCGAGGCAACATCACATAACTTCTGATGGCTGTTAATTATATCCATTGACTAATCACAGAATTCATGTCCCAGGTGTCATGCTGAAAATACGAGCTCACAGTCCTGAAAAGCGTACGACTAAATCCAAAATTATTTCTGGTCAGCTTCTCCTTTCCTTTCTCAAAAGAGTTTCAAAGCGCCTACTCCGGGAATTAAGCTCATAAAGATTAAAATCGACAGCAGTAAGACAACGCTCCCCAGTTCTCCTGTGCAACACACACAGTTTCACACCGTATGAGAGGGCTGGAGATCCGCAGGAACGGGTCGCACCGCCAGCCGCGGCGGGCAGGGGACCTGCTCCCTCCTTCCTCCGCCCTAGAAATGTGCGCTCAGGTTTCCCGCTCCAGCCCAGAGCCCGCAGCTCTCTATCTGGAGGGAATCCCTCCCCATCCCTCCTCCCGGAGAGGCGATGCGGGACCCCCCGCAGCAGTTGGTGCAGTTCTCAACCCGCAGCTGTCCCTGGGGAATATTTCGCCCTGACAGTGCATTTCTGCCCTGAAGAGCAGCTCTGTTCATGCCGCAGGACCAGACTGATTCAGCATCAGGCGCGTTCTCTTTACAAATAAAAGAACGGCCCTACCCCATTTCCATCACTAGATGTACCAGACACCTGGTGTGCCGGCTCTTTCCATTGCCTTTCATCTAGCTTCTCCTCCAAGAATTATCCTGAATTCCAAACTATGCCCCCACACGTTCGTGCACCTCTCGTACCTGAGCACATAATTTTGAACAATAACACTGCACATGTGTCAATGGAAACATAAGGCAGTCTGCTGGTTTTTTATTACTGATGATGGAGACGGTACCTAAGGAGGAAAGAATGCAGCTTGATTGTCAAGCCGCGTAATCAAAGCTTGCAGCTATGTAAGGTAAATTTATTTGCAAAATTTGATGTGGAACTCAGTAAGACAAAATAAACACAGGACCCCTTAGATGCCTCTTCTGTTGCCACTTCCTAAGGTAGACCTGTCTGCATTTCAACAGTTTCTTTCAGTGGGGCTTTGATATTTCTAACATGCAAGAATTTTTTTTCCATCAACAGTATTCTTACCTTGCACTCAAACAGAACACAGTCTCCTGAGCTTGAATACACAGTTTCTCTTTGTCCTTCAAAGTAGGTTCTGCCTTCAAACACGCACACCGCTTCAGGAGAAAATTTAAAAAAAAAAAAGAAAAAGAAAAAAAACCACAATGATTTTGTAAAAAAGTGTTAGTACTCTGCTTATAGAACTGACACATTTTCTTAAAGATAACCGGATTTCAAAATTAAAAGATTGAATCAGCTGCAAGAATATTCTAAACCCACCTGTAGGACTCTGGATATCACAAGGTAAAAAAAAAAACAAAGCCCAGGAAGGAACCAGAAAAGCACACATAAGCAGAAGGTGAAGGAGGCTGAAGCAATTTGGAGCAGAGCTACCGAGGGCGGCACAGCCGTGTCCCGGGTCACGCCGAGGAAGCTGCGACCGCCCACGGCGCGGGGCCGAGAAGGAACATGGAGCCGTGAGAGCAGGGCGGGTGGCATTAACAGATGATCAATTTCTTGAAGGGGAATGTTGCATGATGAAGGGTGATCACCGAAGCCACATATTTATTTGCTACCACAGCCCTTTGATGTTTCATCACCCAACAGTTATTTAAACAGGACACTTTTGTTTCTTTACTATCCTAGTTATTTACCATTACTGCTGAAGTATATTAGAGTATATGAATTGCATCGTGCAGGAACCGAGCTTCAGTGATTGTGGGTTTTTTTTTCGTTTCCCCCCCTCAACAGAAGTAGGATCAAGTCTCCACCGATCAAATGACAGAATGAGCCCCTAGCATCGGTGTTTGCCGGACCACGACCTGGCCTGGTGCCCTGGCAGCACCGGGTTTTACAGCAGCGTGCTGACACAGCCCAGGCTGGATCGCTCACTAAAGTTCCTATTCGGTATTTATTTAAGGGTTACATAAAATATCTTCACAGCAAAATGTCTTACTTTTTTTTTTAATGGGTCCATTACTGCAATTACATTATGCAAAGTATAAAGGCTAAGTAATGTAACTGCTAGGTATGGAAAATCGTATTGTCTGTCTCTGTTGCTTAGGACACAGTCAAGGCTCATCAAGTAAGCATAATGATGAAACAACAGGAGTAGGTTACCACTTTCGAGTTCTATATTACATGTTAGAGGTCTAATTTGCTAATCATTGATTCGGAGATGTAAATCAATTATCCTACAATTCATTCACAGAGAGATTTATCTATTCTTTTTAAATAGACTACAATTTGTAGACAATTTAAAAATATCTAAGAGTACAAGAGTTTTTATTGTGTGACCTATATTACCATTACTGCTGTTATTTTCAATTCTTCTTTACTTTTTTTTTTAACTTGCAGCTCCTTGATTTTACAAACTTCTTGTTACTTTGTCAGCATGTAAAAAGTCAACTCGTGAAACTCGTGTTGAAAAAGACACGATGGGCATAGTGACAAAAAAGGTTTTTTCAAATTCCTAAATATGAGTTACAATATCTTCTATATAAAGTATCTCGTGTGATATAAGCCTGCACAGCACTTTCAAGAAGTAATATCACAGCACGTTGCAACACTCTAAATCCCATGAATGGCAGAGTTTGCAGTAAGATTTAATAAAGAAAGTACAGAAAAGAGCCACAGGAGAGAGTCCAGGGGAGAGTCTGTACAACATCCACAAAGAGAGGTCAGAAAGAGTCAAAAAAGCTCAATGCAGTGCCTCTTTCCTCTCCCACAAAACAAGCTCTTCTCGAAGGCAGTATTGGGGGGGGG